AAATCCTCCTCTGTTTGCCAAACAAGCATTGATCCGACGTGGCATACATCTAATGAGACGTCTAAGGTCATTTTGGTCCAGATTGTCCCATTCCTATTGCAACGCAGCAGCAAGTTCTTGGACATTGGCAGGACGTTGTTGACGTTGACGTAACCTCTGTCCAAGCATGTCCCAGACATGCTCGATGGGGGAGAGGTCGGGACTCAGTGCTGGCCAAGGTAATGTGGTGATGTTCTGTTGTTGGAGGTAACCTGTAACGATCCTGGCCCTGTGACATCCTGCGTTGTCATCCTGGAAGATGAAACGGCGGCCATGACGTCGTGCGAACGGCCCAACATGGACTGCCAAGATGTTGTCCCGGTAGTACTGGCCTGTAACACGCCCTGCAACAACATGTAAAGCCGTTCTTCCAGCAACAGTGATGCCTCCCCACACCATAACAGAACCACCCCCAAATCGATCATGTCTGATGGCGTTAACGTCTTGGAAGCGCTCGTTTCGACGACGCCACACCCTCCTACGTCTGTCCAAAAAATCAACAGTGAACCTTGACTCATCTGAAAACATCACATTGCTCCAGCGTCGATTATCCCAGTGTTGACGATCCCTACACCAACGACGTCTTGCCTGAATGTGATGATCTCTCAAACAAGGGATCACGCGAGGACGTCGGGCGCGAAGGTGACCCCTATGCAGTCGATTCCGAATCGTCTGGCCACTCACTCTCACACCAGTGTCTGTTTGAAGACGAGCGCTGATCTGATTTGCTGTGATGACACGATTTCTCAAGGCCAAGGTACGGATAAATCGATCCTGGGCTTAAGTTGTCGCCCTTGGTCGACCTGAGCGTGGTCTGTCCTGTACAGATTGTGTATCACGGTATCTGGACCATAGCCTGCTTATGACAGACTGAGAAACATTCATCGTCCGCGCCACAACCGCCTGTGTTGTGCCGATCTGTAGCATGCCAAGGGCACGTAACCTTTCATTTTGGGTAAGCCGACGCATATCAAAATTTGTTTTCTGGTCAATAAAACAATTAAACTGATGTTTCCATCCTGGAATTCAATGTCACAATGACTGTAACATTCAAAGTCAGAGTCGTGCAAATCTTGGGTTGGACCCCCATGATGATCCCAAGCATCACCTGCATTCCATGCGGTAGCTATTGGTGCGTTTGGGCGTCACCTGTAACTGGAAATGTTTCTTCTGTTAGGTTCTATAGTGACTTTTTTCGTAGTCATTTGCATATTTTAGTATTATGCCCCCAAAATCAAATATCCCCTACTTTTTTTGAATAGTATAGAATGTTTTAAAAATGTATGATTTATCTCCTATAGAATCTTCTTCGCGGATATCTATGACACATCTATTCACGCCCCTGTCTGTCGAGACAGTCAACTGCGACATAGCAATATATGGGGCATATAAATAGAGAGTGAGTACACTTTGTACACTTAGGTCATATTTTTTTCATGACGTCATCTGAAATTTCTGGCTTCACAGTTGTTGCAACTTTATCTATATAGCCCAAAGCCCTGTATAGGGATACGACTTTGATATAGCTCTACTTAACAAAACGTTTTATTTTTTTCTTGGTATAACGTTTTACGGGTCCTAAACAAATTGCAAAAGAAACCAATGCAGTTTGGTTAGATGATAAATATGTCAGACAAAATCATACTCAAAATCGGCCAAGGCAAAATGACATGATTAACATAATTCAATTTGGCGTTCTTCAGGAATTGATAACGATAAGAGGATACTTTTAGAATAAAACTAGTGATTGTATCCCATAAAACTGTGTTCTGTTAATGTGTTTACCGGTCGCTAAATGCCACTTAAAGATTATGTAGGTGAAAAGGTGTAAGGTTGCCGGGGAAGTCTTGCGGGGTTCTTCTTGATTTTATCCCACTGTCAGTCCCAAAATGGATTGTTTTAAGATGAGTCAACGTCCCCAGCCACGCCCAAACCGCTAACACTCCCCAGATGCAACCATCTGAAGCTGGGTGGGTGATACTTTTTTATTGAGAAAATAAAAGTTTCAGTTTTCATGTGGGGTTGGCCACAAGTTACCAATTAACACTGTGTAAATGTCTGGATATACGTGACTATATACCTGCCAAATTATCAAGTCTTTCACACAAATGATAATGAAATTGCAGTAATGAGTTAAGTAATATGGAAGGATAACGCTGCCACAAATTATTCCAATGTTAACGGTGTAAAATGCATATGTCAGCAGTTCAAAATACGTATTTGAGTTTTACAATTTGCAATATCCATTGCTTCACAATACCATTGTCACAGTGTTAAAATACAGAATACACTTTTCAATAATACAAAATACAGTACAATAGTTATTTTGCAGATATTACACTTCTCCGTTCTGCATTTTGCATAATAGACAAATGCATAATAGAACTTAGCATATTAGAACATATACCTTATATGGGATCTACGACGAAGCTCATTTGCATACGGAAACCAGCGGTTGCCAGGCAGGATACACCCACATTTTGCAAGAGATGGATAGAGAACAGGCTAAAAACAAGCGGTATTTTTGGTCTGAAATGCGCAAATATCAAAAGGGACTAAAAACATGATTTTTCGTAAAATCGAGGAACATAATTCAGGAATTATAATATTGTATGGTCACTTATTGTATAACAGATTAATCTCTGTCACTTCTACTGATGTTGTCCTTGTAGATTAAATTATTTATTAAGTCCAGATTTTTTTCCGTATGCAAATGAGCTTCGTCGTATATCCCATATAAGGTATATGTTCTACTATGCGAAGTTCTATTATGCATTTGTCTATTATGCAAAATGCGGAATGGAGACGTGTAATGTGCAAAATAACTATTATACTGTTTTTTATATTATTGAAAAGTGTATTCTGTATTTTAACACTGTGACATTGGTATTGTGGAGCAATTGAAATTGCAAATTGTAAAACTAAAATACGTATTTTGAACTGCTGACATATACAGTTTGTACAGTGAACATTGAAATAATATTGGCAACGTTATCCTTCCATAAAGTCCGAATGGTTAGCACTCACGCACTGTATCATACGGTCTGTCATTGAGTCAACTGGCGGGGTTTCGATTCCCCGGTTGTACGTGACAAGGAGTAGGGTCGCCTGTCCAACCTCGTGGGTTTTCTCTGGGTCCTCCAGTTTCCTCCCACTGCTAAAGACCCCTACGCGCAAGCGAATTATTGAAATAAAATTAAACCATGTGTTAGTCCCGAAATTACCTTGTTTGTGTCGAGTGGACTTTAAACCCCATTTCTCTCTCTCTCTCTCTCTCTCTATAAAGTAAATATCAAGCAAATCTGGCAATCATCTCTTGTGAAATCTGGTACTACTCGAAAATTATTGATCATAGAATAAGAATAACTGAAAAATTTTTAAACTAGCTATATGGATACCCGTTTTATTATCAATAATGACTAATTAAATATAAAAATTAATAAACATGATAAAATAAATTACTTGGTTTAAAAATTATTATGCTAATTTGTTTAAACTCTTCATATTTCCGTGATAGTATCATTAACCTGGCTAAACCCTTGTTTCATTCTTACATTACATATGCAATAACATTGGTTTTGTTAAACAATAACTCTAAAAAATATTACTCTTTGGTTCAAAAGGCCCAGGTTCCTAGAAAAATCTGAGGTCGGGGGCCTGTTTCACGAAGGAGGGTTGGATGGCCGAATGGTTAGCAAGTGCGCGCTGTATCATAAGACCTGTCATTGAGTTAACTGGCGTGGTTTTGAATCCCCGGTTGTATGTGACAAGGAGTAGGGTTGCCTGTCCAACCTCGTGGGTTTTCTCTGGGTCCTCCGGTTTCATCCCACTGCTAAAGACCTCTACGCGCACGCGAATTATTGAAATAAAATTAAACCATATGTTAGTCCGGAAATGACCTAGTTTGTGTCGAGTGGACCTTAAACCCCATTTTTCTCTCTCTCTCTCTGTTTCACAAAATTTTAACTAAGATAAAATCCAAATTTTAGTAATTTGATTGGTTAATATTAGATGGATTTTAGTGCTTAGCCAATCAAAATTGAAGTATCTACTAAAATTATCTAGTATCTAGTTAAAATGTCGTAAAACAGGGGCCTGAACTGAAAAATTATGTAATTTAACTGCACAAAAATTGACTTTAGCCTATATTTGTCTAAGTAACATGGTCATATTGTTTTAAAATGTTAGATTTTGTTGGAATTTAGGATTCCCCTCTCTCTCCCTTAAAATAACAATAACTCCCAATCTTTAGTCAAGAGATAAATTCCTTTACTACATGTAGACCATTATGAACAGCCATAGTTGACACAACCATGGACAATCTATATGTGATATCATAAACAAACACAGTCTAGTACACAAACAACAATCTGGACTAGTTCATTATAACCATCATAATTTAATACATATTCATAAACACAGTCTGGTATACAAACAACAATCTGGACCAGTTCATAACAACCATAATTTGAAACAAACATAAACAATCTAGATTTGCAGATTATAAACTACCATAGTTTGATACAAAAATCAACAACTAAAGCTAGATACAAATATCAACAACCTAGATTTGAAGACCATAAACAACCATAGCTTGATACAAACATCAACAATTAAAGCTTGATACAAATATCAACAACCTAGATTTGAAGATTATAGATAACCATAGCTTGATACAAACATCAACAACTATAGTTTGATACAAACATCAACAATCTACAAAAATTGTTCGTTGTATTGTAAATGAGATGTGGTATCAGGTGTTTTATAAAGAGTAATCATATCCTGCTCCATACACTCGTCACTATTTATTGTCAAATGATATCATACTTTGGATTTCAGAATTCTTTAGTTTTTGACTAGGAAACAATGATTTAAAGAATTATTACCGAATGTGTATATTATCTGAAAAATGTGTGGTTTAAAGATGCATTACGTAAGATTTAGATAAAGAGCTGGTCTTTTTTTTAAGCAATATTTTTTATTCAGATTTGTATCTGAATAGGGATTGGGGAACAGGCATAGCCTATATTAAACCCCTCTGGTCTTTCTTGATATACTAGTTCAAAAATTGAAAGTGAAAAATGAATATATTGAAAATTCCATTCAAATTACTCTGAGTGAAGTTTTGAATGTTGAAAGATGTAGAGTACATTGTTTACTGTTGTAGTAATGTAGTAATTTAAATCTCTGCAATCCGATTGACTAGAGACTTGATCATGGGCTTGTCATATTAATAAATGTCTAATTGAAATGAAATGAAATAAGGTTTAACATTTTTGCTCCGAACTGGGCTAATGAAGACCCGCAACAGCAGTACGGCCTACTCTTTTATCGAATTCCAACTGCCAAGAGATCTTTTACGTGCACGCCAATGTTTACACAGGACCTCGGTTTTCCATCTTATCCAAATGACTAGACAGCAGTCCTTGTCAGGCCCTCCGTCCTGCAGATGTCTAAATAATATTTTATATAACATTTGAAGCCAAAATAAAGACCAGCAATAGAAAGATTTAGATCTTACATAATGCATCTTTAAACTGTAAAAAATTATAAATGGTCCTGGTGCAAAAGACAATTAGCGGTTTAAATGAAGACAAACTAGAAATGCCAAGTATCAAGAATCAAGGTTAGAAGCTGATGATTGTTCGTCAGTTGAGTAGAATTTTCTAAGAGTTTTATTCATGGAGTATTCCACTGCATTATCGATAGGCTTCACAATAAATGGAATGCAGATTAAGCCAATTATTGTTGTGGTCCAGTGGCGTACTGGTGGTGAAAATCTTGTACCCCGCTTCAATGCAACTCCCAAATATGTACAGAGTCTGTTTATGGTGAATCCTGGGATAGCAACAGACGCAAACCCCTGCCATATCAAGCAATCACCGGTTGCTATGGAAACTCTTTCAAACTTTTCTTTTTTGGTTTTGTGTTTTTTCTGAAATAAAAAATTGATTTCCATTGACTTTGAGATTCTCAAAATAGATAATGGGAACCATAAAAACATTTAATATCAGGGTTGGTTTCAGACTATTTAGCAAGGTCAAGTATAGGAAACTTCAACCTAATAATTTCCAAATAAAAGCCCAATGTAGGCTTACTTTAGAGAATTTCCAAATATAGCCGTCAATGTACTTCAGAGAATTTCCAAATATAGTCTGATGTACTTCAGAGAATTCTCAAATATTGCCTGATGTACTTCAGAGAATTTTCAAATATAGTCTGATGTGCTTCAGAGAATTCCCAAATATAGCCTAATGTGCACATTATATTTAGGTATCATAGATAGTATTATCTTGTACTACTAAGCATGTTCTTTGTAGTAGTGGTGCTAGGTAGGTATTACTGCTATATGTTATCATTACCTTGTGCTTCGTACTGAGAATGTTCTTTATGAATGATTAGATATTATTACCTTGTCCTGAGTGTGTACTTTATGAATGCTATATAGATCAATATTATTACCTGTAATGATCATGTCCTTTATGAATGCTAGGAAGGTATACAGATATTATTACCTTGTACTGAGCATATCCTTTATGAATAGCATCTGCTACAACATAACAGCTGGCTACACCATAACTTAAATACACCAATCGAACTGGAACCTGAGATCTAAACGCTTCACCTACTTCATTAGTATAACCTGAAATATATCAATTATCTTTACAGAAAATGTTTCCAAATACCGACGAGAATTATTTATTTATTCATGTTACCCAGGACAGGAAAAACAGTTTTAGTTGTACCTTACAAATTGACAGGCATCACAGAACTTGTACCTGATATTTTGAACATTTTGTTGGACATGTACGTACTATAAAACCATAGAAAAAAGTGCTGGATAAATGACAGGCACCAAAGGGATTGTGCCTCATAATGCAAGCCTGAATTTTTGACTGGCGATGTCTGCTGTGACACACATGTTTTATCTCCCGGCTTGATTTTAGATCACTTTGTAAAATAAAAAACATTAGCCTATATATTAAGAATGAACAAATATTGGGTGGATCCAATTAATAAGGTTTACTTGCTCTAGATAGATACATGCTGGGTTTTTTAGCAGCTGATGCAATTATTATACCGTTGAGTGTGCTCCTAATATCCATGACATCCATAGAAACAAATACTACCAAATATATTTCTAAAATTTTCTGGGGTAGGCCTACCTACTCCCACCACCACCCTTCCCTCCAGCTCTCCTTTCAGACACAACTTAGAGCTGTAAATATTATGTAACAACATAAAAACAAACACTGCAATCATACCCAGATATCTGACCAGGGAATCTCTAAATATGTCGGTGTCGCCATTCTCTTTGGAAGGTATGGTGGCAGTTCACTGTGAACTTGATAAATTAGGTTTATAAAATCTATATTGAGGCGAGTAAAGGTAAAAGATTCCGTTTTAAGTGTTCCGTTAACTTAACGGTTAACCACGTGTTGGGAAGGTTATTTAGCGCCCTCTATAAATAAACAACCAAAGGGAGGTAATTCTAAATTAAATGAAACCCCTAACAGAACTTCAAATCGCATTCATTTGATTAAATATGCAGACTATCTGAATAATATTCTTATTTATAAGTTAATAATGGATAAAGCGACGGTGAAGAATGGCAATAAAACTGTGGCATTTGCTTTTGAGATTTGCGACAACGACAGAAAACTGCAACAACCACCAAGTCAATTTTTGAAACGTCAAGAACGTCACGTTCAAAAAAAGGAAAAATATTCAAAGGAATATTTGGATAGAAAACAAGAAGAAGCGACCAAACGTAGACAGGTACAAAATAAATAACCCAACCATGTGTTTCTTCTCCTACTGTTAAACATCCCTAGATGCAAGACAATATATAGTCTGTACACGTCTCTCTTTATTGGTTTTTTGTTTTTTGTTTACAATGAATGAAAGTTAATTGGATTACAATTTGTACCTTAAATGGGGGTTGGATGCCCGAATGGTGTGCGCGTTACATCATCAAAGGGTCTGTCATTGAGTCAACTGCGTGGTTTTGATTCCCCGGTTGTACGTGACAAGGAGTAGGGCCATGTACCTGTCTAACCTTTTCGGTTTCCTCCCACGTGGATTAAGACCCCTACGCGCAAGTGAATTATTGAATTAAAATTAAACCATATTTTAGTCACGAAATGACCTAGTTTGTGTTGAGCGGACGTTAAATCCTATTTCTCTCACTCTCTCTGTAAGGGACAATTTCCCATTTAAGTTTTTTGCAGATAATGGTGCCGCATCAGATGACAATGAAAAATATCTAGTACCGGTACAGTAGGCCTAATTCTGATGACACAATAATAAACAGGCTAGTTTATGCACGTAATGGATTCCTTGCCAATTAACTGCAATTTTGAAACACCACCATCCTGGCTAAATCCCCCCTAATAATAAATTTCTCCCTCTCCTTAAAATTGAAAATCGCTCTCCTTGACAAAGTCATGGAGGGTTTATTATCATTTATGAATCCAGGAATGACCCCCAAACCTGCAGTTATTGATCTTCAGAACCATTTTCCATACACACAACAAATACTTCCCTAGGCCTAGTATAGTAAAAATGTCTAGTTCTTTGGATGATACAAAAAAACCGAAGGTTCATCCCTGGAGTAGGCCCGGAAAAGTAAAATAATCTGTGACAGTCGGAAGTTGATGAAGAGTAGCAAAAAGTCAATCATAATCAGTCATTGTTGTTTATGTTTTAGAGGAGAGCCGAAAAAAGCTCTCCTTAATCAACAAATTGAAAAAAATCACTCCCCTAAAAAAGCTCTCCCAGTTTCGATAAGAACAGGGATTGTGTGACACAACTAATCACTCTTCTTAAAGGACAATATTGGTGCCAGTCATTATCACATATGTGACAGAGCTGGTTAAACACATTCCAAATATAATTTTAACACAGAGATCATTGCTACGATAGCTGAGTAATACAGGTTTCCTGAATCGGAAGTGACGAACGCCAAAGGAAAACACGAGCCATCTCTCTATATAACTGACTGATGTGACGAGTGATAACGGATATACGGGCGAATTTCTGCTCACTAATAATTGCCTCGAAGACCAAAAGTTGTTGTGTGAGACCGTGAGAGGATAATGACTGGCACCAATATTGTCCTTTAATATCAGATCACTCTCCTTAATTTCTAAATCCCTGTTCTTATTGAAACTGGGATGTATGTACATTCATTTTTTTTGTATCATCCGAAGAACTAGACATTTTTACTATACTAGGCCTAGGGATGTATTTTGTTGACAAGATTTAAAATACCGTTCCTTTTGTTTTTAGGATTATGAAGAGGCCATGATAGCTAGAATACAAGAAAGAAGTGAAGAATGTCGTAAGATAGATGAAAAGGTTCAGGTGTTGATGGAACAAGATGCACTCCGGAGACAATTACCAGGCTGCGAAAACATCAAACCATTATCTAGATCTGAGGTGTCTAAAACAATAAAAAGTGTTGCGAAGGACTTTCAAAATATATCAGTAAATATTAACAAAAGTACTGATATATCGTAATCAGCACTTATGAATGAGGATTTTGAATATTATGCTTTTTTTAGGCCAAACCAATTTGACTGTCCAACGTAACCTTGTGAGTTTATTCTGGGTCCGCCCACTGTTAAAGACGCCTGTGTGCAAGCAAATTATTGAAATAGAAATTGTACTTGTATGCTAGTCCTAAAATAACCTAGTTTGTGTTGCATGGATGTTAATCCCCATTTATCTCTGCTGCAACCACCATATAGTCTTCTCATCACTCGCCTTCTCTTTTAAACGTTGTCAAATTTGTTCTTTCTTACTAATATTACTATATCTTGGTATTTAAATTTAAAAAAAAAAAAAATAATTGTGATATTTATTTTTATTATTAACTAATCTGTGATATTTGCTTCTATTTTATGTATATTTTGTGATAATTTTGTCTCGAAGATTATATGTTTGGAAGAATATATCCTAGTTGGTGCCTACATGCCAAGAAAAGCGATTTCTTTCATTGCTATTTTTTTATTTATTGTTACTACGCAATTTTTTTTTTCTTTTGAAATATTGCACCCTGTTGGAATTTTGAACCGAGGACAACTGCCATTGACTTCGAGCTGTAATATCAGTACTAAGATATATTATGTTTTTTTTGTGTAGTATTTCAATCTAAGCCTTGGGTTCTCATTTTCCACCAACAACTTGTCACAAGTTTAGTCATTTCAGTTTTCATTTCTACAATAATAAATTAAAGCTACTGACAAAGGGGAATAAAATGAAATGGGGTTTAACACCCTACTGTTCTGCTCCGACTGGGCTAACGAAGACAGGCATACGCCATGAGTGAAATTTTGCCCAGACAGTGACACTATGGTCTACTCTTATTTCAAATGTCAAGGTTTTTTTTTTTTACGTGCACACCAATGTGTAAATGATACCTTGGTTTTTCGTCTTAACCGAACAACTATATATTGTCCCTTGATAGGCCCTCCATCGTACACCACTGAAAAGGGGGAACCACGCTGGAAAATCCCAATGTTCTTTCTTGGCCAACACAAGGATCAACCATACATGTAGGACTGCCAGGTTAGTGAGCCAACATCCTACTCACTGTGACTCCCTGACAAAAGGGAGATTTTAGAATACTGTTTATGAAATCAAGTACCAAACGAATGTCCATTCTCCTTTCTCTTCTAACTGATTTTAGTTAAATTTATTACCATAAAGTAATCCCATTTTTCTATTGGTTTATGGAGTCCATATATTGGAGCCACGGGGACTCCATATATTGGAGCCACGGGGGCTTGGGCACCTGTTTACTAAGAAGGAGGTACGGGGTTGGAGAAAGTTCTTCCGAGATTTTCGAGCCTATAGTTCCCAGATCCCTTGGCAAATACAAAATAGCTTTCATTAGCCATGTTGGTGCAGAAAGTAAAGATGTTTAACCCCATGGAAGTTAGGGGACCACGTGGCTAAGTGGGTAAGACGCTGGCTCGCTAGCCTGCATTGGCCGAGAAAGTTCATCCAGATTTTCCGGCGTGGTTCCCCCTTGTCAGTGATGCAGGACGGAGGGCCTGACAAGGACAGCTGTCTAGTCCTTCGGATGACACGAAACACCAAGGTCCCGTGTATACATTGGAATGCACGTAAAAGATCCCTTGGCAGTTGGAATTCGATATAAGAGTAGGCGATAGTGCCGCTGCCCGGGCAAAATTTCCCTCATAGCACACTGTATGGCGTATGCCCGTCTTCATTAGCCCAGGTTAGGAGCAGAACAGTAGGACGTTAAACCTCATTTCATTTCATTTCATTTCCATGGAAGTTAATTCTTTTGAAAAAAAAAAACGACACGAAAATTTCAATTTAGTTAATAGCTTGTTTCCTTTAGAAAATTGGACAATAGAAAAAGTGTTCGACAGTTATGAATGTCTTTGGACTAAAACTTCTTTTTTTTTCAAATTCAATGTGTAGCAGTTTGTCTTTTTAAAAAAACAGGTTATCAAAAGTTATTGACCATTTCATCATTGTGTTTCAATAAGACTATGAAATTGACCAAATTTATTTTATTATACTTTTTACAAAAAATGTGAATTAATACAAATTGAGATAAAGATGGAACATATTTTGTTCTAGTTGACAGTATATTATTTCATTTTTGTATTTAATATTTATATGCATAAAAGTTGTATTTTATGTTTAATTTTACTGTGATATTGTTTTTATTTATGCATATAATGTTTTTCTGTGATATGCTTGTAATATTCACCATATATTTGGCGCAATATAGTCCGGTTGGAGCTGACGTGCCATAAAACCACATTTCATTTCATTTCTAGTTGACAGGCCTTGAAAAGCAGTTTTATCAGTTGAATCAAATGATTTGTGTAAACATTCATTAATTTATCTTGCATCGATGGAGCTGTCAGTCCTTGTCGTTTTTGAGTTAGCGTTATATGTTCTATGGCTTTCTAGACAAGTTGTTTTTGAAATGTCATAAATATATTTATCTTTATTTATTATGTAAATTGATAGTGATAAGATAGTTATGTTCGAGACGAGTTGTTTTTGAAATGTCATAAATAAATTTTTATTTATTATGTAAATTGATAGTGAATAATTATTTTATGTTTAAACTTTGTTCTCACATCCAAAATATGTGGGGGGTTGGATGGCTGAATGGTTAGCGTGTGCGTGCTGTATCATAAAGCCTGTCATTGAGTCAACTGGCATGGTTTCGAATCCCCGGTTGTACGTGACAAGAAGTAGGGTCGCCTGTTCAACCTCGTGGGTTTTCTACGGGTCCTCCCACTGCTAAAG